TATAATTAGAAGTGGAAAATTCCTAATTTGTACTTCCAGTTTCACAGACTATAATTAGAGGTAGAAATTCTCTATTGTAATTTTCAGTTTATAAAGAAAATAAATGTATGAAATCAATATCTTTGTTTGGCATTTGTATGAAATATTTGATGTCCTGCTCTTGTATGATCTTAGAGCCATGAGCACATGCAGTAGTTATGTATTAAAACACATCTAAGACATAATTGATTAACTAATAATTAAAATTATTTAGGCGTCCCCCTTTCAATGTGCAACTCAGAATGTCTACTGTAAACTTCATACTATTAATATAACTTATAATGTTTCAAGGTGGTCATTGGGACAGGTTACGGTAATCAAAAGGAATGTATTTTTAGCACTAGATAAATATTGAAGCTCGTGGATATGTCAAAGTGATTTAGAAACTTATTCGTTAAATCATATAATAATCTCAATATCTTGAATCCTATATGATTTCTTTCGTTTGAGGAACGAATTAGACAGAAATAAATTTCTGCTTGGTGTGATAATGAATTACTTTTTCGGAATTACAAAGTTTTCATTCGAATATCTGGTTAATATCACGTGGTTCTTTAGAACCGGTCCGGTAAGTGCAAGGCTATATAAGAGGTGAATAGTGGTGTAAATACCACTGTAGACACGTAGAGCACGATAAAGTTTAAATTTTATCATGATTTTTTCAATCCAATGTAAACTTGTATATACAAATTGATTTTCATATTTCGCATAAGTTCTGTACACTGTACAAATAAAGCTGCTGCGTTTCGTTGATATGTCCAAATGGTGCGTTTGTTGTTTATTGTACTTTCATGTGAAAGTAATAAATGGATTTAGAGTAGAACTAGTATCACCTAATTTTTGACTGAGCTGAGCTGAAAGGCCAACGTTACTCAGGTGAGCATTGTGGCCCATGGGCCTCTTGTTTTAGTGCCATCAAATTCTTGATAATGAGGTTTAGTTGAGTTGAAAAAACCCCATAAGTCTCTGTCGACATTGTAGCTCTACTGGTTTATACTTAAAACAAAGGAAGAGAAAAGTAGCAGTTGGGACTTGAAATTTTAAGACAGCAATAAATAGAAAAATGATCCTTGCCAACCATAAAAATAAAAAAAAAAAAAACGATACACAGAATTATGTATCTCAATAAAGTCTACTTGTGTGCCAAGTTATATTCAAATCGACGGCAACACCGTTCATCGAACGCAAAAACCCATGCATAGAATTATGTATCTAAGTGTATTCTACTTGTGTGCCAAGTTATATTGAAATCGGACCAAAACTGTAGAAGGAGTAGCATTTTGAAAGTATTTTACAGAAATGTCTATTTTTAGTAACAATGACAACGCCATTCATCGATATCAAAAACCGATTCACAGAGGTATGTGTCTTAGTGTAGTCTACTTGTGTGCCAAGTTATATATTGAAATCGGGCTAAAACTGTAGGAGGAGTTGCATTTTGAAAAATTGTTTAAAGACAGACGGACAGCTAGATGGACAGAAGATGGACGCATTACTATCGCATAAGCTCTTCTGGTCTCTGACCATTAGAGCTAAAAATGAAATGATTGTCCCAGCCATTACAGAAGAATAAAGAAAATTATATAAAATATATAAAAAAATATATAAAATAATAAAGTTCACTTATGGACCCTGCAAGTGAATATCGGAAAAATCGAAACTATTCAGTTTTAATTGAAAATATGTGTAGTTTTATTTTGACCATAGGTCACCTAATATTAATTAGAAATGATGTAATTTTTTCTCTAATATGATGTCACGAATTGCGTCATTTTCCTCAATTCTAAAGAAAGTAATAAAAAGGCCAAAATTTTCAGCTGTTTCAATATTATGCAAAGCCCCAACCTAGAATCTAATATGTTTAATTATAATGAAAATATTCTTAACAAGGATTTTTTTTGTATTGGGGTGTGGGCTCATATTTAAATAATTAGCTGAAGATGCTCAAATTCATTAATCTCTTCAAAATTCAAAAATATTGCAATTTCACAAATCTTTCTTTGCAATACCCAAACTCTCAAAGGAATTTTTTTTTATTGGAAATGAAAGCACTATGTCTCTCCTTTGAAATGATATTTAACATTGTGACTTCGTCAGTAAATAGGTATAGGTACAGGGCCATTTTGTAAAGTAAGTGAAACTAGCTCTTTCTGTAAAAGAAAAGCCTCTTTGATCCATTATGTAAATCTCTTTTAGGACCCTATGTGACACCAACAGTGTGGGGAAGATAAACATGGAACAGTTCGCCCTGGCCTTGTACCTCGTACAACAGAAACTGAAGGGGATAGATCCTCCAGCCACCCTCACCCCAGAGATGATGCCCTCCTCCATGCGACCGAAGGGTAGTGCCGACACCACACAGTTTGGTGTTACGGTGAGTATAGGCTTATAACTTAGATTTAAATTTCAAATGTTTTTCAAGTAGTTCATTGTAGGTCTAAAATTTGTAATATATTTTCATTTTAAATGAAATGTTTTGCATTATTAACTCCTTACAAATCTAATTTATATTGTAATGTGAAAAAATTCTAGCATTAATCTAGAAGAAGTAATAATTTGGCGGTTGATTTTTACAGGATGGAGTGAATGCCGGACCCTATGGACATGTGGCTGATTCTTCAGCCATCAAAGAACTGGACATCATCTCCAAGGAAATCGAAGACATGAAGAGATAATTTTAATTTAGAACATTGCCAGAGAGCTACAGACCCATACATTGTGAGACCAGAGGATGTTACATTCAAACCTATAGTGGGAGGACCTATATCTCCAACACAACACCTAAGTCAACTCCTTGATATCCTCTTAAAACCTTTATGCACAGAAGTGAAAAGTTATGTTAGAGATGACTTAAATTTTTTAAGACATCTCCCGGACAAAATTCTTCCTAGTGAAACATTAGTTACAATGGATGTAACGAACTTATATACTAACATAACTAGTACACTAGGTCTCAAAGCTTTGAATTACTGGATTGACAAGCATCCAGAAAAAATAAATTATCGATTCACAAAAGATTGCTTCTTAGAAGCCACAGAAATAGTATAAAAGAACAATACTTTTTTTTTGTGATAAACATTACGAGCAACTCAAAGGAACAGCAATGGGCACAAAAATGGCCCCTACCTACGCTACTCTAATATACAAGATACAAGATACAAGATTTTATTAATCCAATTTGGGCCCCCGGAGGAGCAAAAAGATTTACAAATAGAAGGAGGAGGATCCAAATGATAGAACAAGCATGATGATGATATTACAAATAAAGAGCAATTGTTAAAAAAAAACAAAAAAAAAGTATACAAGAGATATACTGAAGATACATACATGTATCGTATTGTAAGTTACATACAAATATATATAATTTATACATAATTATATATATAGTTAAAGGCAAGAAACTGGGAAAGAGGTATATAATTTTTTATGCTTATCACAATATCTTCAATTAAGGTAAATTACTAAGGAATCCAGCAAGTGATCTAAGGATGTCTGGGTCTTCATTAGTCATGAGCCAATAAAATTGATTATCATAAGATAGAGACTGAAAATTTTTACATTTAATTTTACAAATATTTATGAGTTCAAGTCTTTGTACATTAAGATGAGGACATACAAGGAGAAAATGAATTTCATCCTGAATCTCGTTGTGATGACAAAGTGAACAAATTCGTTCCTCTCTAGGTATTTTTTGGTAACGTCCAATTTCAATTTTAGGCCTGTGAGCCGATATTCTTAACTTTGTTAAAACTGATCTATGAAGATTATTTGTAAGAATATCTAGATAAGGTTCAAAACAAAATTTAGTCTTTATGCTGGTAAAGGTAGACAATTTGCCATCTTTATGTAAATTCCTGTCTTTTTCCCATGTTAATTTATAGAAATTCAGTAATACCGTATTCTTTTCAAATTGATTTTAAATTATGGGGTTGACATACCTACATGTAGAAAATCACCAATTTTAATATCAATATGGTTAAGTAAGAAGTTAACACAAGAATACCATGAAGTAAAACCATTTTGGTGTAGTGTTTTAGAGCAGTTAAAAGCCTCACTAAGCAAGGGAAATTCACCATCTAGATTCTCTAATCTATGCCAGTATAACAACATATTTTTAATGACATCAAAATGTAAATTCAAACGTCCTAGCTCAGATCTTACAACAGAATTGCTGCTTTTACCATGAACCATTAGTAAATGTTTGTAAAATTTAAGATTTAGAATTTCGCCTTCTAAGCTTTGGTATATTTTGTCTAGAGTTATATTTGGATTTCTCTTAAATTTAGAGGTTGTTGGGTCAAAAAAAAACCATAACTCCGAACCATACAGGATAATGGGTTTAATAGTGTGGTCAAATACATTTAAAGCAGTTCTAATTGATGGATTAAATGTGAGAAAGTCTTTTTGAAGTTTAAAATAGGCTTTTTTGGCTTTGTTACAACAATCATTTTTAGCATTACTTAGTGTTCCAGATGCATTAACAGTCAGACCCAGATACTTGTATTGTTTAACACATTCAATATTGTTGTTATCCAGATGGAAGGGAATTTTAACGTGTTTACCAGATGAATTGAAGACTATAATTTTTGTTTTCTTTGTATTAACTTTGAGACACCAGTCCTTACAGTATGTACTTAGTATATCGAGTTTTTCTTGTAGACCTTCAGCAGTTGGGGAGAGAAGTACCATGTCATCAGCATACATTAGGCAATGAATGGACATAGATGAATCATTGTTTAATTTTACAAAACTTTTAGAATTTGACAGATAATTTGATAGATCATTGAGATAAATCTTGAATAGGTTTGGGCTCATGTTATCACCTTGTCTGACCCCATTGTAAGTACGGAAGTGACCAATTAATTTGTTACCCAGTTTAATAGAAGAATAGCTTTTAGAATACATATCCTTAACAATTGAGTAAAATTTAGTGCTAATACCAGCTTTTAGTAGTTTAAGCTTCAGACCAGCATGGTTTATACTATCGAAGGCCTTATGAAAGTCAACAAAGCAAGCATATAGCTTCCCTTGTTTTGATTTGCAGTATTTTTCAACAAGTGTTTTCAAGACAAAAACATGATCTGATGTTCTAGCTTGTTTTGTAAATCCTATTTGACAAGGATTGATTTTATCATTGCATTTTAAATATTTATCTAATCTTGAGTTAAGAATATAGTTAAACAGTTTGCCAATTGAGCTGGTTATTGTGATTCCTCTATAATTGTTGGGATCATTAGTGTTGTTAGATTTGTATACTGGAGTAATGTATCCTTCACACCATGAAGAAGGATAATATCCATGAGTTAAGCAACCATTAAAGATTTTCAGTAATATTGGTACCAAGACCGCTTGACCATGTTTGAGCATTTCATTAAGGGTATTTAGAAGAGATACTATATGAGAAAATCAGTGATCGGTTTGATTTAACTACCGCAACATTAAACAGAAATGGAAAAGATATCTTGATGACTGTTTCATCATTTGGGGCGTAAACGGTATGAATATAGACATCTTTTACAACATTCTAAATGAGCTTGATCCCGACATACATTTTACTGTGGAGAAGAATCTGGAAATTATATCATTTCTGGACGTCTTAATTACTCGAAATGGAGAGAAACTGACAACTGATGTATACTACAAAGCGACAGACACACACCAATACCTCCATCTCGGTTCATGCCACCCCAGACATACTAAGCGTTCAATACCGTATAATTCATCGAGAAGAATCTGTACCATAGTCAGTGATGAGGCACAAAGGAAGGAACGTCTTAGAGAATTGAAAGTGTATCTTTTGGATCAGAAATATCCATTAGAAATTATAGAAGATGGAATTAAAAAAGCTGAAAAACTGGACCGTAACCAATTATTTAATCCACCGTCTACGGACACTACAGAGGAGAAAATACTTCCTTTCGTTACGACCCACAATCCAAGAAATAGAAACATGACCCCAATTGTTCAACATCTCAATGGAGCTCTTAAAACCGACGAAAAAATGTCAAAAGTTCTTCAAAATTCGTAAACAGTAAGAGGCAACCGAAGAACCCCTGCCGCTTATTGTGCAAGTCGCATTTTCAACAAAATAATGTGCACTCAGTCAGCAAATTCCCTGACCGTCGCTGTGGAACATGTCCGTACATAAGAGAAGGAAATACCTTTAAAAGTGGGCCCAAAGATTTTTAAGTTAATGCTAATATGTCTTGTGGTTCTAAAAACGTCATATATTGTATAACGTGTGAAGGATGTGGCCAATTTTACATCGGCGAGACTGGAACTACTCTCCGTACCCGTATCCGAATCCACAAAAAACATATTCAACATCAGGAGTACAGACAGGTCAAAGTAAGTGAACACCGGCCTGGACCATTGCCGTAACGGACATTTCACCGTGTTCCCCTTTCACAAACTGTTTACCGACAGTACGGTAGAAAGAAGAGAGAAAGAAAAACATTTTATTAAGTCTTTAAAACCAACTTTGAACAGTTTAGCATAGTTTATTGTATTTTATATATATGTATGTTTATTTCTCATATGTTCAACATATACGCTTTTGCTTGTTTCCCGAACATTCATTGAGACCTCATCGTTTTTTCTTTTGCCGGACACTATTATATAATTTATCATATACAATCTTTAGATATATATATATATATATATATATATATATATATATATATATATATATATATATATATATATATATATATATATATATATATATATATATATATATTTATAAAGTTAAAAAGAAAACACAAAAATCCTCAGTTAAGTTATATATATATATATAAAATCCTCAATTTGTTGTTTTTTAATCGCGATTCAACGAAAACATCGGTGTCAGTTTTTGGTTTTAACATTTAAAACAGAGTACTATAGATTTACCGCTTTTTGGCAGGTGATAGTCATAGTGCTGATTCAGTAATAGATACGAATGTCTCCTAAAGTCTTTATGCATTAATGAATTTATTTAAACCTATAAAATGTTCTGAAAAATTTGAATAAATTCTGTGCAACAATAAAAGAAAATCGCTAAAAATCCTAGATCCGGGACCGTCGGGAGTCGGGAAGACTAGATTTACCGCTTGCCATTAAATTCGCCACTGGTGTTTGAACTTCTCTCGGTTTAACATTTGACCATTTCTCTTAGACGAATTCGATCGCCAATAGTAGTAATTCTATAACTGCTCAATTGTTCATTGCTCAAGCTAAAAATATCAGCATCTTTTCTCTCTTCTACAAATCTATCGATGACCTGCGAACCCATCATTAGTTCCTCGAGGATGCTTTTCAATGTGATCGCGTTTTCACAATTTTTTTCCCTTAAACTAGTTTACTAGTTAACGATATCCCGATCCCGATGTTATACCTATTTAAAAATTATCTTCATATAATGTTGAAGTATCATCATATAATGACAAAGTACCAGCATATAATGACAAATAAGGAAGCATATAATGACAAAGTACTAGCATATAATGACAAAGTACTAGCATATCATGACAAAGTAGTAGCATATAATGAAAAGTAGTAGCATATAATGACAAAGTAGTAGCATATAATGAAAAGTAGTAGCATATAATGACAAAGTAGTAGCATATAATGACAAAGTAGTAGCATATAATGACAAAGTACCATCATATAATGACAAAATACCATCATATAAAGATAAAGTACCATCATATAATGACAAAATACCATCATATAATGATAAAGTACCATAATATAAAGACAAAATACCATCATATAATGAAAAAGTATCAGCATATAATGAAAGTTCTCCACATAAGGCAGTTATGGCGTTCCATACATATAAGTTACATCATAACACTGTATGTTTTGGTTTTGGTTTTATAAGTTTGATAACTTTTATACATCTATGGATAATGAATGTGTGATTTATCATTTGGATTTGTGTTTCTACCGGTTTGTAAATCGAAGTTTTCGAGTTTTTAGTCCTTTTCATGTAATCAATCCTTAAAACGCGTTTGAATATATATCGTGTACTATTGATTAAGTATAATCATTAGGATAAAACTAGGTAACATTTCTTGTCTGGATTAATATTGAAACAAAGATATGTTTGATAATTCTAAATACATGTATAGAATATAATAACTACATCATCATATGAGAATATGCTGTGATTAGAAGGTTAAACTATCTCGGCTTTTGCTTTTATAAGTAAATACTTGCATGTTTACTTCATTACATACTTCAATACATTCACATTTAAAACACATTGATGTATTTCATGTATTTATATTTTCATGCAATGGATAAATCGACCAATTTGAAAATATTCTAATGTTTTTGAAATATAAAACATGAGTAATAAACAATCCAATTTCAATTGCATATAGCGTCGTGTTATTGATTTTTAAACTGGTTTAAACCAGTTTAGTTTCTGATCTGTTCAAACTTTTTGATAGGTGTTGCGCTTGATCGTGTATACATTTAAGGTAGTCCTATCCTCAGGTTTAAAAAATTAGCAGTTAAGTAATTAAAAATACTCATACATGTATCTCTGAATCCAAAAAAATATGTAAATTTGTTCACAGTATTTCTTTAAAGTTAAAGATTAAAGTTAATCATATTATAGAGGGAAAATTGCCAAATCTCCAATATTTTTGCAGAAAAGGCGAATTGAAATATCTTCAATGCATTTTCTAATTTCAAATTGATCAACAAATATATTTGAGGTTTAAAAACTATAGGTATCCGGATCCGGGCCACAATTAAAGGGTGAAGGTCAAATGGCTAAAACGTAGCACATGTAGGAAATTCATATGCCTCCCTTATAATGATAAAAATAAAAATAGCTCACATGTTTTAGATACTTTTGGGGTATAGAATAAAAGTAGAGTGTCTAAAGTTTACAATGATATGCAGCAAGGTGCATTTCAAGCAAAAATTATGCCTAGAAATATGAATTGAAAAGAGCATTCGTTTGGTTTGTTTACACTTTTTTTGCCAAGTGAGAGCTATCCTGAGGTCATAACGTCAGAAGTTTATTAATAACCAGGGAATTCCACATTCAACACCCCTATTTCTGGATGTGAATATTTATCTGACACATTGCTCTATCATATGGTCAAAGATATTTTGCAAGTGAAGATTTTTAAAAAAGTTACAAAGAAAATAAAACACATGTTTTTACTATATAAGTCTATATGTAAGCTAATTGTGGTCCGGGTCCTTATGATGGGGTGTTTGAGGGATTCCCCTGAATTTATTTTTAAAGATATGACAATGAAATTTTGACAGGAGGTGGGATATACATTTTGAAATAGTTTCATAAAAATTTTTAAAAAATATTTAAGCATTTTAAAATTAAAATTTTTAAAAATTGTGATTGAAAAAAAATTTAAATTATGCATCCCAGAATGCAATATTTCAGGGGAATTGATATGTCGGTGAAAGAGATCACATTAGTGATCCACTGACCACGAAAATAGTTCCTTTTTAAAAATAGAAAAACTGTTTTGTAATGTGTATTTGCATGTGTAATCTTACTAAGGGGTCCCTTTGAAGTCATAGATGAAAGACGATGTGTTTATTGGAAATGACAGACAAGCTATCCATTGATTTCCCCCACCCAAAATAAGGCGCAATAAGAAGGTGGTGATTGGGCCAATATTTATATTGTATATAATATAACATGTGCATGGATTTATTTTGCAGGAAAACACGTGGAAATGGGATTCAGGCTTTGCCCGACTCATATTGCACATGCAGGCAGAGGTTGTGTATTGGAGTTTATAATTTCAGGTGAGTGGAAATTATATTATGTTGTGTAAAAATATGTACTTTTCACTAAATATTAGAAATGGGGGTTGATGGGTTTGTCATTTCAAGGAAGATGGGGGGGGGGGGGGGGGGGTATAGTTTGTAGTTTTTGACAAAAACATTGATCAGTAAGTAAGTATGTATGGATGTATGTATGTACATGTGTGCGTATGTGTATGATGTGTCTTATGTATTTATGTGGAAGTTTTGGGTTGTGGCCTGGTGTTAATTTTTACACGTTTCTTATACGTTTGTAATGTTGGTATCTTTTCGAATAATTTGGTTGGCCCTGAGAAGGGCCGTTTTGTCTTCGTCTTGCCAACTCATGTCTGGTAGTAGGTGTGATCCTCTGGATTGCCTCCCTTGGACTGTAGGCTGGTGGGTTTGGGATCAAGTTGCCCTTTGTTGTAGGTGCTTGTCATTTTCATTCAGGTGCAGGGATGTCAGTTTGTTCGGGGCGAGGATATAAGACTGATTCCACCAGTTGTGTCTGTCTCCACCTTCACACACCACTGAATTCCTTCGACACTTTGAACAGTCTCCTGAGTAGCAGAGGATGGTACTTTCTACGACAAGAGGAAGTTTACTACAGATGATGTTGATGTCTCAAGTGTAGGTATCCATGAGTTTCTTATAGACTAAGCTGCACCGGGCCTTTACATCTTGTGCAAAAACTTTTCTCATGTGGTCTAACCTCATTCTTGTTTTGCAGGGAAACATCTCGGGGCTGAAGTGGGCACTGCGACACTGCCGGAACTGGGCTCTGCTGACATGGGTTGGGTCGGCCAGTCGAGTGACTCGCCAGTCTGGATGAAAAATTCGCATGGCATCTTGGAATTCCTGGGCTGACCGGGCATCACCGTCTGTTGTGGTGTGCTTCACCTTGAACCCGTCCGCTGCCAGATCTTCGCCTATGGATTTAGCCATCTCGTACTCTGAAAGAGGTGAGAACATTTCAATATTAGCTGTGCAGTCTTCATGACCCCCCGGACAATGAACATCATAACCATTACCTCGAAGCCAGGTTCCAGTCCAGCAAAGTTTGTTCTGCATTGCTGAGCCAATAATGTACTGTTTGTCGGTGTTGGTCTCGCATGCAATGGCGTAAGCTTGTGATGCATTGTAGCCTGGCTTTTTGCTGCTACCGAAGGTTATGGAGTTGTAGCGTCCATCTATGGCAATGTCCAGTTCCTCTGGATGTTCTTGACCTTTGACCTGATTGATGGCCTTAACCAGTTGTCTCTTCTCACCCATGTCTTTTTTATTCAGGGCTAGAGTGGCTGTGTTGACCTGGTTGCTGGCCCTTTGCATGGAGCTGCGGTTAGGAGGTGGAATGTCCAAGGCAGCTACCATTTCCCGACTGCGTCGATTCCCCATGGAGGTGTTCTGCAGAGCTAACTGAAAGTTCCAGTTGATACTGGCAGGATTAGGGCCTGGTTTGTTAAAGGTAGGAATTTCAGTGTATAATTTATAGTAATTTGTCTGAAAATTACATACCGTACACAGTAGTCTCTTCTGCCATCCAAACCCCCATTTCCTCTGTCCTGAGTATTCTCACACTGGAAAATTACAGTGCTTGGCCTGGTCAAAGTGGCATTTGGCTGCATCATTAAACATTTCCAAGACCAATGTTATGTCAACAATGCGGTTTCCCTCAAACTCATAAGACGTCTCTTCATTTTTTAGCTCCTGGCATGGCTCAGGTCTGGGACGAAGGATCGGTGTCCTTGAGAGGCTTTTCTGGCCTTCAGCAAGGGGATGTGCTGTCTCAGTCTCTGGGGATCCCTGGATGTTTGACGTAGCCTGATGAGCCTTAATATAATGAGTGTTCCCTTTTTTAAACCCAAAATTAAGATTTTTTTTTCTTTTATGGTCACCTTTCATTATTTTCATGTGTAGTGAAGAGTGGATTAGAAAGTAAGATTGAATTATGACAATGTTTATTTGGACACATTTTAGTGGTATTTACTGCAATATATTCCTTTGACAATCACCTGTCAAAACAGACTCCAATAGGGTATTAAGATTACCTATACAAAGACTCTTAGCCAATCAGCTGCACATGGCCCCTCTTCACAGTCAGGAAAAAGGATATGGGGGTGGGCTTAGAAATCTGTTTATTTTGAATGTTATGTACACTTTTATCAGTAATGTGATACATCATTTGATTTATGAATAAATGTACTTTAAATGTTTACCCCTATTGTCACTCTCAGTTTTTCATGATAGATTTTATATTTCTTAATTTAAGAAAATTTTATGAAAATACAGGGTACAGATCATCAAATTACCTAGAAATCTAAAAATCTTGTATTTTACATATTTAAGAGTGTGTGTGTGTTTAAAAGGTATCAACAACTTACTTGTAATAATTAGTTCCTTTTATTGTCTAACAGTTTTTACATATTTCAATTTTAAAATTTCATACTTGCCATTTTTTGCCATTTTCTTTCCTGTATTGCCTTAGTATACACAATATGTAATTTTACATGTAGATATCAACCAATTTCAATCAAACTTGGTATATTAGTTAAGTAGTATCTAAGGATTTCAAATATGGCCTTAAATTTTTTTAATTTGGCGCAAACGTCCCTGAGCGCTAAAATTTATTGTGCGCTAAAGGATTTCCAAGTATGAAAAATTTCTTGTGTTCAAAACGATCTATAAAGCACATGTAAATCTGTACGTGCGATTACGTAATGTCGCAAGGTCACTCTATTTTAGTGTACACACTGATAAACTGTTACAAGTAGGATTGATTGAGTAAATTCTCCCAATTATGAATTAATTAAACTACTGTTACCTGTCACCCAGGCCAGTACCCATGATTAGCACCTTCTAGTCGTGTCAATCATTTATCGCCTCGAGGTGAAAAAAGCGATCAAGCATATCGATCGACCTTGCAGACAATACATGTACCTGATTATGTTTACCGTTTATCTAAGTAACTACCCTTCGATGCATGCGTGGTTTTAATATTAACAAAATGCGTGAACAGCTCACAATCATTTATTGAAGTACATTCACAGGTAAAAAAAAAATGAAAGTGTTTTGTGTTCATAAAAATCTCAATTATAAAACGATTTTAAAATGAGTGTCAAATAAAATCGTAATAAAATGCACAAGTTACACTAAAGAAGCATCATCATATCACATCCAAAATTCCTGTTGTTTCAAACGACTTTAAAAACAATTCTTTTCTTTCTGCTATATTGTCGACAGCACGGACGAGCCACTGCGCGTGTATGGGTTTTAGTACGGACGACTTTAGGAGGACACCATGTTGTCGTTAGCGACGCCGTTTTCTGACATTTTGTTGAGAATGCAGTCTGCATACCACTTTTGAAATTCTTTCTTGAGAGCTCCTTTAAACTCCTTATTTACCAGCTGGTCTAGAGGTTGTAATTGGTCAGTGCAATTGGGGGGTATGTAGACCAGCTCAATGTGGTTTCGCTTTAGAATTGTGCGTGCCTCTTCGTCCTGGTGACCCCGGAAAACGTCCCACAATAGCAACGCCTTGGATGTCGCTTTGATTCCGAGTCGTTTTCTTGTTGACATTACATAGGGAATGATGATTGAATTTACAAGTCTGAAAATGTTATTGTTGAAATGAATAATACATACTAATAAATATTTTCATAAAGTATAATTTTTTCCTTAATTTTAAAAATTTTAATTAGATCATACTTACTCTCTCGTGGTCTCTGAATTTGCCCAGTGATTTTCCGACTGGGTAATGGCCCAGCCATCGGGGAATTTGAATTTGGGATGGCACGATGGTGTTTTTCCCTCGTAAATGACTTGTGGGTTTAGGAGATCACCCGATGCTGTGCAGGCTAATGTTACTGTAATCTGACGTTTATCATCTAAACCCGTAATCTTCACTTGTTTGTTTCCTTCCAAATCCATTGTCCAGTTTCCGACTTGAACAATATTGATACCCGTTTCATCAACATTAATTACTAACGATTTCGGAATAGAGTGTTTCTTAGCAACTGTTGTGATTTTCTCTAGGAAAACTGCCTTCACGTTTTCAAAATCACTAGGAAGGACTTTTACAGACTTAGTTCCCTTTCGTTTTGAATATCCCATTCTTCTGAGGATAGATTCTGCTAAAGACTTTTCTATTGTAATGGGTCCACCAAATTCACTAAGTAGCGATTTTTTGTGAAACATAAGCACTGCACGTGAGATAGACATGACGATGTATGTATTAACAATACCACCGTTTAAACGTAATTATTTTTATGTGGTTTTGAACAACTTCATCGTAACTACCTAACATCAATGGTCGTCCCCTGTCGGCCTTTGGTAATTCCAAGACTCTCCGTGTTGGTGTTTTTTCTCTGCTTTTAACATACGCTTTTTTCAAATTACGTACAGTACTTTCCCTCACTGGTGAACCAAGCTGTGAAGTAAAATGTCTGGATGCATTCATTACTCCGTTCTCTAATGCATATTTTCCAATTTTTGCCCTGACCTCCGGTGAATACACATTGTAGGTACCACGCTTTTCTCGCTTTGGTGTTTTAGGCAATTCTAAAGAATTATTGATATATTCACATAGGTCTGCCGCTTCTTTACTGTTTTCCTTCTCTGGGTCGGGAAGAAACTCATCACGTTTTCTCTTATTAAAATAGTTAAAAATGGACATTGTGCCCCGTCCAACACTACGGAAAAGTGAGCGTACATTTACCTGTGTACGTAAGTTAAAAATCAATTCTATTGTGTTGAGTGACCACAAGATAAAATACAGGCGTGGATCAAAGGAATAAATATCACATTTATTTTTTATTTAATGACAAGTGCAAGCGCTAAAATTTATTTGCGCCAATGCTTTCTCACTTGCGTTTGCGCTAAAATATGTATGCGCCAAATTATCTCGTTTTACAGTATGTATGGATGTATGTATGTACATGTGTGCGTATGTGTATTATGATGTGTCTTATGTATTTATGTGGAAGTTTTGGGTTGTGGCCTGGTGTTAATTTTTACTTGTTTCTTATACGTTTGTAATGTTGGTATCTTTTCGAATAATTTGGTTGGCCCTGAGAAGGGCCGTTTTGTCTTCGTCTTGCCAACTCATGTCTGGTAGTAGGTGTGATCCTCTGGATTGCCTCCCTTGGACTGTAGGCTGGTGGGTTTGGGATCAAGTTGCCCTTTGTTGTAGGTGCACCCGGGTTTGGTCTTTCCTTTTCTAGCCGCCGCATGTTGTTTCATTAGCGTAGCTTTTCTCTGCATTTCTCGCCTTTTAACTGCTTTTCTCTTTCTGTATTCTCTGCGATAGGCATATTCCTGGTCAATGCTTTTTAGGTACTGATGTGTGTGGCCGGACAGTGGCAATGTAATCTCTGCTGCTTTCATTAATGTTGCTAGTCCCGGACTGTTGTTTTGTCTTAAAATCTCAGCTGAGAGGATTCCTTCAGCATTTCTTGAATAGTTGGTGTGCTTAGGTAAAACTTCGCTGACTGCTCTGTTAAGACCCTCACATTTCTGAGTTGACGTGTTGAGTTTCATTTCCTCAATGGCACTTTGGCTAAGTCGCATCTCAAGAATGACTTTTAACAAGTGCTTGTCATTTTCATTCAGGTGCAGGGATGTCAGTTTGTTCGGGGCGAGGATATAAGACTGATTCCACCAGTTGTGTCTGTCTCCACCTTCACACACCACTGAATTCCTTCGACATTTTGAACAGTCTCCTGAGTAGCAGAGGATGGTACTTTCTACGACAAGAGGAAGTTTACTACAGATGATGTTGATGTCTCCAGTGTAGGTATCCATGAGTTTCTTATAGACTAAGCTGCACCGGGCCTTTACATCTTGTGCAAAAACTTTTCTCATCTGGTCTAACCTCATTCTTGTTTTGCAGGGAAACATCTCGGGGCTGAAGGGGGCACTGCGACACTGCCGGAACTGGGCTCTGCTGACATGGGTTGGGTCGGCCAGTCGAGTGACTTGCCAGTCTGGATGAAAAATTCGCATGGCATCTTGGAATCCCTGGGCTGACCGGGCATCACCGTCTGTTGTGGCGTGCTTCACCTTGAACCCGTCCGCTGCCAGATCTTCGCCTATGGATTTAGCCATCTCGTACTCTGAAAGAGGTGAGAACATTTCAATATTAGCTGTGCAGTCTTCATGACCCCCCGGACAATGAACATCATAACCATTACCTCGAAGCCAGGTTCCAGTCCAGCAAAGTTTGTTCTGCATTGCTGAGCCAATAATATACTGTTTGTCGGTGTTGGTCTCGCATGCAATGGCGTAAGCTTGTGATGCATTGTAGCCTGGCTTTTTGCTGCTACCGAAGGTTATGGAGTTGTAGCGTCCATCTATGGCAATGTCCAGTTCCTCTGGATGTTCTTGACCTTTGACCTGGTTGATGGCCTTAACCAGTTGTCTCTTCTCACCCATGTCTTTTTTATTCAGGGCTAGAGTGGCTGTGTTGACCTGGTTGCTGGCCCTTTGCATGGAACTGCGGTTAGGAGGTGGAATGTCCAAGGCAGCTACCATTTCCCGACTGCGTCGATTCCCCATGGAGGTGTTCTGCAGGGCTAACTGAAAGTTCCAGTTGATACTGGCAGGATTAGGGCCTGGTTTGTTAAAGGTAGGAATTTCAGTGTATAATTTATAGTAATTTGTCTGAAAATTACATACCGTACACAGTAGTCTCTTCTGCCATCCAAACCCCCATTTCCTCTGTCCTGAGTATTCCCACACTGGAAAATTACAGTGCTTGGCCTGGTCAAAGTGGCATTTGGCTGCATCATTAAACATTTCCAAGACCAATGTTATGTCAACAATGCGGTTTCCCTCAAACTCATAAGACGTCTCTTCATTTTTTAGCTCCTGGCATGGCTCAGGTCTGGGACGAAGGATCGGTGTCCTTGAGATGTTTTCCTGGCCTTCAGCAAGGGGATGTGCTGTCTCAGTCTCTGGGGATCCCTGGATGTTTGACGCTGAACTTGAAGCTCCTGCGGAATTTGACGTAGCCTGATGAGCCTTAATATAATGAGTGTTCCCTTTTTTAAACCCAAAATTAAGATTTTTTTTTCTTTTATGGTCACCTTTCATTGTTTTCATGTGTAGTGAAGAGTGGATTAGAAAGTAAGATTGAATTATGACAATGTTTATTTGGACACATTTTAGTGGTATTTACTGCAATATATTCCTTTGACAATCACCTGTCAAAACAGACTCCAATAGGGTATTAAGATTACCTATACAAAGACTCTTAGCCAATCAGCTGCACATGGCCCCTCTTCACAGTCAGGAAAAAGGATATGGGGGTGGGCTTAAAAATCTGTTTATTTTGAATGTTATGTACACTTTTATCAGTAATGTGATACATCATTTGATTTATGAATAAATGTACTTTAAATGTTTACCCCTATTGTCACTCTCAGTTTTTCATGATAGATTTTATATTTCTTAATTTAAGAAAATTTTATGAAAATACAGGGTACAGATCATCAAATTACCTAGAAATCTAAAAATCTTGTATTTTACATATTTAAGAGTGTGTGTGTGTTTAAAAGGTATCAACAACTTACTTGTAATAATTAGTTCCTTTTATTGTCTAACAGTTTTTACATATTTCAATTTTAAAATTTCATACTTGCCATTTTTTGCCATTTTCTTTCCTGTATTGCCTTAGTATACACAATATGTAATTTTACATGTAGATATCAACCAATTTCAATCAAACTTGGTATATTAGTTAAGTAGTATCTAAGGATTTCAAATATGGCCTTAAAATTTTTTAATGAATTTTATGCCTCCATATAGGATCCGGGCCACAATTAAAGGGTGAAGGTCAAATGGCTAAAACGTATCACATGTAGGAAATTCATATGCCTCCCTTTCAATGATAAAAATAAAAATAGCTCACATGTTTTAAATACTTTTGGGGTATAGAATAAAAGTAGAGTGTCTAAAGTTTACAATGATATGCAGCAAGGTGCATTTCAAGCAAAAATTATGCCTAGAAATATGAATTGAAAAGAGCATTCGTTTGGTTTGTTTACACTTTTTTTGCCAAGCGAGAGCTATCCTGAGGTCATGACGTCAGAAGTTTATTAATAACCAGGGAATTCCACATTCAACACCCCTATTTCTGGATGTGAATATTTATCTGACACATTGCTCTATCATATGGTCAAAGATATTTTGCAAGTGAAGATTTTTAAAAAAGTTACAAAGAAAATAAAACACATGTTTTTACTATATAAGTCTATATGTAAGCTAATTGTGGTCCGGGTCCATCCAGGCATTCAGAGAAATTGTCACGATTTTTACACTTATTTGGTATTTTTCGTCTTCTATTCCGTCATATATGCTATAGTACATAGTGTAAAAGACTTTCTAATAAGCATTGGTATCTAAACCTGGATTCAAGAAAATCTTATTTCAAAATTCTCTAAAACTGTATTAATTTGTTTTCCTTTTACAGGGTAATAAGACATTTTCTAAGACTTCAAAAAACCTTGAATCTTTTAAAGATGAATAAAAAGAAATTTTTTGCATGAAAAAATTCAATTTCAAGCTTCATTTTGATTCATTTCTAATTATAAATTGATTTTTGGAGTTATTTTTCCTGGCTGAGGATCGGATATCCTACAATAGACGCATTCCTTCATGTACAGTGTTTAGAAGTGAACATGGAACTGAACTAAACTGATTCATAATCTAAGACTATGAAATTAATAATAACTATTAAAATTAGATGAGAGTTAATTGAATTTTTATTAATCTGATTAATCGAATTTCAATTAAATCAATTTAATTAATTTGTTCATTAAATGACGTCATAGGTAGCCTCACATCCTGGGAGGCTACCAGGAGGCTACTCCATAGTAACTCTATGGGAGGCTACTGGTCCAGAAAGGGTATTTTTCCCCTACTATGAACACCCAGCAGAGGGCTTTTTGAATTACCTTTAATAAACTAAAGCGCCGTTTTCAATGTACATTTTTGCAAGTTATGTACCACACAGATGACAAAATATGTGTTAGGTGTAAAAAAAAAATTAAGATTTGAATTAATTAGATAAAGTTAGGGGTCCAAAAACGGGGCCAAGGCACTATGCTTAAGTGGAAACATCCTTTGACAAATTTAATAAGAAAATATATGACAAATTAAGCTAACATTATGGTCCCTTTATTAACCACAGTATGTGAACAAAGAAACAGACAGCCGTTAAATAATACTCTAACTATAAGAAATGAGAAAAATTCCTATATCTAGTCCTATTTTAAGAAAAATTGTCTGTATGGTCATAATTGTAAGAGGGAGTCTTAAAGGGATATATATATATATATATATATATATATATATATATATATATATATATATATATATATATATATATATATATATATATATATATATATATATATTATAAAGATATACCTTTCCTTTTTTCATTTATTTATATAGATAATACACAATACAATGTGTACAAAGAGTTTTTAACAGCAGACATAGTTTTAAATATTGAAAATCTCAAAATTGTAAAAATCTTATATATAATAGCAGGACCGCAAACATCTGTGATCATTTTGTACTAAATGAAATATTATAAATTATATGAATATCATTGTTTTGTATATTAAATTTCAGTACAATGAAATCAAACAATGACAAAAAAATAAATCAAAGTTTATTACAGACTTATATTTTTCGTATGTTAATATTTGATATAATACCAGTCACATTTGTATATATGACCCTTGTTACAGTGGAAATTTGTATAATAAAATAAGAGTCCATCAAATCTCTCTGCTACTTGTACTGAGGGTCAGGTCACCCTTCAGTATGGTTCCATCATTTACATGTGTGAGAAAAAAAAATATCACAACAAAATTTCAGATCTAAAAAGAAAAGAAATTTACATTTTGTTTTTATTACATGTATGTTTTAATCATTCATAAAGAAACGAAACAAAGATTATGAAAAGATATTCATTATAACAATAAGTGCCTATCGTATTAAATAATTCTTACTACATGCATATGATAATTAATTTGGCATTTTGTTTAAAAGTAAGTTTCTAAAAATTTTATTGTTCGTTTAAATAATTTTAGTAAATTATCCTTTTTATTATTTTCCTTTAGTTGGTAGTTTGAAGGGTCATTTCTTCTTTTTAAAATAAAAACTGAATTTTCTTTTACAAAAGTAGTTTGACAATTTTCATTTCTGGATAGAATGAATATAGTACATAATGAACTGATCTTTATTTTTGCTGTAATTATTCAAGTATAATATTAGACAATATTTTTTCCAATCAAGGGCCCCCGGAAAGGCATGAAAGATACATTAGTATAATTTCATTAAAATTTAAAAAAGGAACATTATTCTTATTAGGAAAATACTTTATCCACATAGTAATCAACCTTGTATTCCAATGATCGATGCGTTTGGGTACATGCATTTCCATTTGTTCTCATTGACTTAGCATTCGATATCCCTATCTCATTCTATGGTCATGTCTTATTGTGAGCTAAAGTAATGAAATTAATTTATTGAACCAATCTGTAAGGAATCTCATATTTTCAAAACAGACTATTTAACATAAAAAAAAATAATCTTTCCCTTTATATGTTAAAATGTTCACTAATTGTGACCCATTCGGAATAGCTTGTATTTACGTCACATAATGAAGAAATAAAGAAATTTAACACTGTTTACCTGCTTTGATCAGTCCATTTTCTCTTCTTCTTTCCAATAATTGGGAAACAAAATGAACCCACAAGTTCTATAAGTCAACTGTGAGGCTTACATCTCCAATAACGCCCAGGTACCCGAAAGTTATAAAACGAAAGTGAAAGTCAACGAGACTTACAGACCCTATTGATTATATAGAGACAAACTGACAGGAAGCATACTAATAAAAGATGAAACTCAGGTATCTCTTTGTTGTTTGGGATTATAAAATTTTATCATGTGTAAGATTAATGGAAATGAAAATTGTAATATACCTAACTTTACTCAAATCATCCCTTCACAAATTTTATTTACAAACAACAAATTAAAAACAACAACAAACATCATTTAAAAACCATGATAAGGATTTGTTTGCAACAATGTACATAGTGGGTTGTGATGGGATTTAAAAAATCCCCAAATATTTTGAAAATAAGCAAAAATAATATGAATATAATACTAAAAATGAAAAAAGTCAAGAAATTCCAAGGGAGAGAGGGGGTGACAGTTTCTTTCTCTCTTACTATTCCAAGGAGAGGGGATGAGAGTTCCTTTCTCTATAACTATTCCCAAAGAAAAGTTCTGAATTGCTTAACTCTGACATGTAACAATTATGACATATTATTATTGATTTCTGTGCATGTGTCCCATGATTTCTTGCATTCTCATAAATGTAGCAGTTTGAATATTGTTTGTTGTATGTCTGAGAGATTGTTGGTAGGAGTACAGAGCAGCCTGATGGTTCCCTATAACCTGTTGACAGATCCCTAGAATCTCCCAGGATATGTCTCTTTGATTTGGATGTATATACATTCCCTGATCATGGTGGACGAGGTCCTGTAGGTCATTAAGAGCTGTTTGTGCTCTCACTGAGTCTACATGTCTGTAACACAAGATCTCTAACATATGTAACAGAACATAGAGTGGAATAGGTAATATAGGGCATCCACACTGTAACCCAGACTGGTGTTCTATCAATAATTCATTTATGTAACAGATTTCATCTTCCAGGACAATATCCATTGCTACAGCATGTCTCATCTTTGCAGACCAGAACTGTCCCCCTAAGACCTCACGGAACATGTACTGCAGTACATCTATAGGTAAATGTAGGACGTACATTACATATGGCTTTGCTAACTTGACCTTTGTCATCTTTAAAATGGATATAGCTTCTTTATATCTAAGTGTCTTGTAGTAAAACATTGCAATATACAACATATCAGAAATACACCCAAACTTGGATGCTAATTTCAGCATATAACTAGATATTTTATTAGCCATATACACCTGCTTGTTTACAATTGAGCTAGGATATGCATTGAATGGTTCAAAAAGGGTTAAAAAATTGTAAAACATAAAGGCAGTCCTCTGAAGTATAGAGGCTGTAATCCTTTGTAACATGAGAACTTGGTACCGAGTCAGGGGGAAAATCATCAGTTTTTCTACAGCTTTGAGGAACCTCATGCACTGGTGGAGGTCTGGTATTGGTATATTATTTGAAAACAATTCATAGAGTAGATCTCTTTCAAGCAAAACCTTGGAGATCAGGATGTGTTCATCTATACCAACAGATCGTCTTGGATTTTGAAGTACACTGGACCTGATAGATGGAATTTGAAAGAGTGATTCCAAACCCTTCTCGTACAATTTATGAAGCTTAATAAATAAATTATTTTGTGTTTCACCATAGATATTACTCAAAAACATGTTGTTTTGGGGAATAAAAAAGTTTGGACACACACCATCATACACCCATTTCAGGACAAGTTTAAAACAGAGCCAGAAACACTGCAGAAGATTTTGTGGAAGCCACTGAGGCATTGTGTTTTGTTGAATCATCCAGAAAACTGCTGTCTTCATGTGATAGGAACACAGAAATTTATTCCCATCACTTATTCCATTATTAATAGATTCTTTTAAAAACAATTTAAGCAACCCATAGGTCAAGAATTGACAATGGTTCATTGAGTAGACAAGTTTTTGTTCTGCCAAAGAGAAGGAAATTCTCCATTCTTTGTCTGCATGCTTTCCTAGTTTTTGTCCAATTGCAACAAAGTGGCATCCATTTCTGACTATGTCATCAACAATATAAGATGGGGGCCATGAGTGACATCTGTCTATCCATTTGGAGGCAGGTGGGGGCCAAAAATCACAGAATAAACATTGGGCATGGTCATACTCTACTAACCCATAAACACCACTACCACATGGACCATGTTCTGTAGAATTAGGCAATGTTGCTGAACAGTTTAACTGTCTATATTTGGAACTTGATATATAGAGTCTGCTATTTATGTTTATGCATGCTTTTTCTAAATATTCCCTTTGTGTTGTTGTCAGTAATTTAAGTAAAGCAAATCCTGGTGGGCTTTCCGAACTATCACAGAGAATCAGGGTTTTTCTACTTAAGTCGTAATTCTGAGCCTGATCTAAGCGCCATATTACTGTGTGGTCGTCTGGCCAAAACATTGCGTCTATATCTGATCCAACTAGCCTGAATCCTTCTTTGTAGCTCCCACTCATCATTACCCTATATTGTTCTCTTGTCAGTATCACTTGACCTATAATTTCCCAGAAGTCCACCATCTGTCTCCTCATGATTACCTGCTTTGAGGACCCCACACTTCGACACAGTCTCACAAAGACAGACTCTGATATGCGCTGTGTACTCAAGTCCCTTTACAAAATATAAGTATATTTATTGTGCAAATTTTTTTTTTAAGTTGAACTTTTACTATAAAGTTATACTGTATTAAGTGATGTATGAAGGTCAAAATTTGGCAGGTCATTGTACAACAACAACACCCCAATAAATACAAAATTATAATTATAATAATGTAAGAATTTGCAGAAAAAAATTTGCTTGTCTGTTTTGATCAGATAAAGATGGAAGTTTGACATTTTTTACTTACAGCCATTTGTAGGAAGACATTTTAATATTCCTAGCTTTCGCCTAAAAGACTATAATTAGAAGTGGAAAATTACTATTGTACTTCCACTTTCGCTGGCTATAATTAGAAGTCGAAAATCCCAATTGTAATTTTCATTTCATAAAATTAAACAAAATGAATGTGTGTGAAATCAATATTTTTATTTGATATTTGTATAAAATATTAGATGCCTTGCACTTGTATGATCTTTGAGCCATGAGCACATGTAGTAGGTATTTGTTAAACACATCTAAGACATAGTGAAAAATTGTCAATAATTTATTTAGCCCTTATTTCAAAGTGCAACTCAGAGAGTCTACTGTGAACTTCATATCATTAACATAACTATTTTTCAAAGTGGTCATTAGGACAGGTTACGGTAATCAAAAGGAATGTATGTTTTAGCGATAAATAAACATTAAAGCTCATGGATATGTCAAATTGATTGGAAATCCCCACCAACCTCTTCTTTAAGCAAATTTCAGATGCTCACAGTATCTTGAATCTTCTGAATTTCAGAGATTCTGGTTCACCTGAGCTGAAAACTCAAATAAGCTTTTCTGATCACCTGTAGCTGTGTGTCTTTCTGTCCATTTGTAAACATTTGTAAACAATCTGTGAATCAGATTGTGTGAAGAATTGGGGAGTGTTTTTCAACAAATAACTTACCCTGGAGAATCAGATTAACGCAGTGTCCAAATCCTGTTTTTACCACCTACGAAATATTAGTCGAATTCGTTCATTCATAACAGAAGATGCTTGTAAGACTCTAGTTGTCGCTCTAGTTACATCAAGACTTGATTATGGAAATGCACTACTCTATTGAATTACAGAGACAAATAAATCACGGCTACAGAAAGTACAAAATACGGCAGCAAGGATTGTGACCCGAACTAAGAAGCATGATCATGTCTCCGAAGTCCTAATATCTCTTCACTGGCTTCCAGTTAAATTTAGAACATATTATAAGATCCTTTTATACACTTTCAAAGTACTCCAGGGGACATCACCATCATACCTAAAGGAATTCATAACAGTCTATAAACCGTCAAGAACTCTACATCGTATGACCCCAAACAACTTGTGAAACCTCGTGTTCGCACGGAAACATACGGAACGCGTCGTTTTGACCAGGCAGCAGCAACTTTGCGAAATGGTTTACCGGATGCTCTCCAGTTCCAGACGTCACTTTTAGCTTTTAAACGAGATTTTAAGACTCATCTTTTTAACATAGCATACGACGTGTATTTTTTTATTTTGAACAAGTTATCAAGTTTTATTGTCCTCAGACTATTTATTTGGGCACAACCTGTATTGTGTGAAATTTTTAAGTTGATCTCAATTTGATCTTGGTCTAGCAGCTTATAATTTTAGCTTACCCTTATGTTAGTAACGATCTCTTACAATGATTTTAGGCTTTATGTTTTTTATGATTATTGTGTTGTATTTAACTACTTGTATATCTGAAATAGTGTCTGTTCAGCGCCTCAGAGTTACTTATTTTAATAGGGCGCTATACAAATGTTATTATTATTATTATTTTTATTATTATTATTATTATTATTGTAAACTTTTCACATCTTCAACTTTTCGGGAACCACTTGACCAATTTAACCAAAATTGATACAAAGCATCCCTGGATGAAGGAGATTCTGATTTATAGAAATAAACGGCCAAGCCTTTTCCAAGGGGAGATTGTCAAAAATAGGGTGGCGTTTTTTAAAAAAAAATTTCTTCAAGGACCACTGGGCCAGAAAAATTGAAACTTGTGTGGAAGCATTTCAGGGAAGTGTAGATTTTGTAGAATATAAATTGTTTAAATCATGATTGGGGGCAATAGGGATCAACGTTTTACATTGAAATATGATGGAAAATTTATTTCAAATAGCTTAAACATATATGGAATCTTGCTGTGGAGTGAAGATCCTAGGTTGTTGAAATCAATGCATGTACCCGGGCCGACCTGGAGATAAGGTGGAGTCTTATAAAGTACGACAAGAGGAAAAGCTGGTGAAAAACAACTTCGTCAGTAAATATGTATGGGGACAGGGCTTTTTGTTGGATTTAGTGAACCAAGCTCTTTGTAACCAGTATCAATTTGAAGTTGTACTCATTTTAGGATAATTATATATATACTGGATTAATTAAGAATGCAACCACAATTAAAATAAAGCCTCTCTTATTCTATCAATCGTTTAGGACTCTGTGACACAAACAGTGTAGGAAAGATAAACATATGGAACAGTTCGCCCTAGCCATGTACCTCGTACAACAGAAACTAAAGAGAGTAGATCCTCCAGCCACTCTCACCCCAGAGATGATGCCCCCCTCCATGCGACCCAAGGGTAGTGCTGACACCACACAGTTTGGTGTTACGGTGAGTGTATGCTTCTTAATTTGGATTTTAATTGTGAAGGTTTTACAATTAAATCATTAATATACAGGCTAAAATGTGTAATATTTTTGCATATCAAAAATTGTCTCTTGCATTATTAACCCTACACAAATGTGTAAATATTTCACTTAATATTTACATTTTCCAATGTCTTTCTCTGAGATAAAACTACAAATGAGGTAATAGCTAAGTAATTCCAGAAATAGATTTGCTCAGCACATGACAGAACTACATGCTTTTTCAACATGTGATGGTTAAAAATGCACTCGGTGGGGACGCTTAGGACGTTACACGCGATGTTGGTGACGTTTGACGTTACGCTTTTAAAGCGCTACGGAAAAAATTGACGTTATGCTTCTAATAGTGTTACATGCTAGACATGTACCATATCGCTATATCTTTGTACTTGAAATGCGAGTTTAAAAAGTCATAGGCTATTTATAATTAAACTAATGAACATAAAAGGCGCTTTGGATTTGTATACATATGATAAATTGTTAATTACTCGAAGCAGTCTTAAACGATTTTCATGTATTACGTTGAAGCAGAACAAAATTTATGCGTCAAGAACGTCCACTGGACAAATTACTCGAACCCCCTAAATGTTGTGTAAAATATTAATTAATGGAGTAAATTTATTTTACTGACATTCAATCTAACCGTTAAGAGTATAACATTATGAATATTTAATTATTTCTGTAGTCGATAGGGAAAAACAATATAATTTAACGACTTGAAAGATGCATTGTCTTATTTTTGCACGTCATTTTACACGCTGGACATTTCTGTTGAACTTATAGTTTAAATCCTAGCTCCAAAGCATGCTGCTTAATATCAACATCAATGAAATATTTCAAATCTACAGGAAAAGCACATTATTTTGATGTAATATTTGTCTATTTAAATTTTCGTTTAAATGAGAAATTTTTCCTTTATATTCATTTGCACGTTTTCAATTAAAAGCGTTACAGATTCTTCATCTTTAAAAACTATAGCTTTTTCTATTTCTTGCCAACATTTAATGCAAATTCATTAATCATTAAGTCACAAACGACATAGATTGCTCTTGTTTTGTGAGGAAAATGAAAATTCTAGATTCACTTTTGAAAGCTCTACACACGAAAAATGCACTATCCCTGCTAAAAAATGTTACCTTTTACACGCTTAAAATGCCTTTTATTTGCCTTTTAAAATTCTACTTTTTGCATAAAAAATTAGTGTAATGATTTTTTTCTTACTATAATCGGGTAGTTCTGTTGAAAATCTGCCCATTCCAACCAAATTCATCCATATTATTCATCCATATAGGATTTTTTTTAAATCACCGAGGAGATTAAAAACTCAGATTCTAAAATTGTAAAGTGGCACCAAAGTCGCGCATAACGTCTTAGATTTTTAACTTTTTTATTTGAATTAAGGATTGGGTAAATATGTAATTTCATAAAAAGAGTGACTAATGGGCGGGGGTGTTAAATAACAATCTATCTGTAAGACTCCAAAGTGCGATGGGACTCTAAAGTCCGATGGTCACGCCAAAGTCTGATGGTGCAGAACCCAATTGACTTTTATGACGCTATAGTAGCACTGCGCCAAACCTCAATGCCGCGCCAGGCCATAGTCTATTTCGCTATCTATTTTGGGTGGATGCAAGACTAACCCTTATTAGTCGGCTATTGAGGACTAACCCTAAATCTCTCGGGTTGTTGCAAAGCAAGGACTAAACCTAATCAATCGAGCGGTGTGAGAGAACTAATCCTTATGGAAGGTTCAAGCAATAAGCAAAAACAATAAAATTGATTGGGAGAACCTAATCAAAAATGATGGCTTTTGAACACTGACAACGGCCTCAAGGATTGACGTCAATTTATTGAGACGCCATAAACGTTAATTGTCTCTCCGCATCATCGGACTTTAGCGTGTCAGACCATTGCACACTAGTGCAGCGTGTCTCATAGGAAACGAGGCATCGGACTTCGGCATGACCATAGGACTTTGGCGTCCTTACCGACAACAACCCAACTGGGTTTGGCGCAGTCCATCGGGGTTTGGCAAGACTATCGGACTTTGCATTATTACATATTTTATCATAATTCACGTTGAAAATATTTAGAGCTCACTAGCCACCGATACACTAATACAAAATGTGTAATATCATCTACACTGACAAACCTTTGTTTACCATTTATGATTATGTTATTGATGCGCACAGAGGATCTTCCCACGAGCAACTGACCAAATCTTAAATGAATAGTAACGTTCATGGCAAATAAATA